TCGTTTATCTTGATTTTAATTCTTTATTCACCATCCATAGCCTAGTGCAGTGATTCCCAAACTGTGCCCCGGGTAGCCGCGGCCTCTTCACAGGGGCGCCGCAAAATATTGTTAAAGCTTCAATTTAAAAAAAAAAGTGCAGTGATTTGCATGCTCATCCATCACATTAATAATTAAATATTAATTTAATGTTAATAAATTTTTAAAAAATAATGAAGATACACGAGTTTTATTTCTTTTTATCCTTTACTTACGAATAGTCATAGTTAGAGTAGGGCGCCATGAAAAAATTTTAATTGAAAAAGGGCGCAGCGACTAGGAAAAATTTGGGAACCACTGGCCTAGTGTGTATAATAAAACCCTGCTTATTTTTGAATACCTTTATCGATGCATAGCCATTGTCATTAATTTATGATATCTGTTCATATTTCAGCTTCCTTGCTCTCATTTAATAATAATAAGATGGATTTAATTTCTAGATTATCTTTTACCGAATTTCATTAATCCAAATCAATCACTATAAACGATTTATTCAACGTTTACATTTTCTTATCTGTTCAGCATCGAATGGTATCGGATTTTGTCAAAAGTCATATCGGAACTTCCTCTGGTTGTCAATTCAACTACACTCCGCAATCGGCTTCCCAATCGACCAGCTCATCTGGCCGCTCTTCCTCTCCCTCACCTTCCAGCCGCTCCCGCAAATCATCTCTCTCTTCTGCCGCTTCGCTGTCATCGTCTGCCTCCTCGTCGCTCTCTTCCCGTTCTTCATCCTCCACCTCATGCTCCAGCCCGACCTCGCAGCATGCGTCAAAACAGCTCACTCAATCCGTCCAACTGACAAGCCCCGGTGGATTGAAGCCAACTGGTGAAGTGATCTATCGTGAGCGTAAGTTCCACAGCAGAGGATACATGCACAGGAACCAATCTAACAGTACTGCAAATGCAAGGGTGGAGGATGAAGCTCGGGCAGATGAAGAACACGAAGTCGGTGACGATGGTGATGGCGATGTTGCATGTCTGGCTGAGCAGGACGCCCGGCGACTTCTCGAGCAAACCCAGGCGATGCTCATCACCGAGGCAGCAGCCTCGAAGGGTCTGGTTGCTCGGGATTCATATTTGCATGATCCGATGGTGATGCAGGCACACAATGCTGGTGAGACAGGGCTGCAGTCAACCATGGCGCTAGCCAGCTGTCCCGCTAGTTCAGTTGTCTCTTCGTCGCTCGCCGAGACTGGCCCATTTCTGCCTCCTGTTCTCTCGCTTCATCCAGCCCCCGTAGCAACTTCAGGCGTTAGCGACGCCGGGCAACTGGTCGACTCGGCGTTCCTGCGCAGCCTGGCCTTCGGCGAGCACAGACTGGAGGAGCAGCAGACAGGCTATGCAGACCTCTTCGAGGCTCCACCCATACCGCCGCCCAGATCGGCATCTACCCTCGCGTCGGCGGCTAAAACGGCCGGTCTTTTGCATGCACACACGCAGTTTCAACCGCATCACTTGGCCCGTTTCCCGGCCGGTCTCGACAGCGCCGGTCTCGAGCTGCGATCCCACTCGACCTCGCTTCCCACACACTCTTCGGCCACAGTCTCGTCTCAGCAACCGACGACCAATGCAGCCCCACTCGGCCAGTCGCCCTCGGGCTACCCAACTGCCATTTTACCGTCCCACCAAGCCGGCCACACGGCCGATGCTGCGAGGACAATTGTCGCCGGAGGCGTAAATGCCGTGGTCGGTGATGCGGCCTACCACTCGATGACCGTCTGGATGGCTAATAGACCTACTCCGGCCAACGACCAGACCGTCAACCTTGGGCCCACGCATGGTCTTAGGGAAGTTGACGACAGCGAGTGTAATGCCAGTATGGGTGTTGGCGGACCCCTTACTCCTTCACTCGGTGCGCCAAGCAGCTGGTCTTTGCAAAGACTGCATCCGTTACGCAGTCATGTGACTCCTGTTCACAAGCGGCCTTCAGCGCCTCTGGCTGTTCCCATTCCGGGGGGGCGACCATCTTTTGGACAAGGTAAACCCTCCTTTCTCTTGTATTTGCCATATCGTCTTTTGGTAAATCTTCCTCTTTTCTAATGTATGAAGACCAAGATGGTGTGGCCTTTTGTGTGGTGGCAGTCTCCTTTCGTTGTATAGAGCTTGTTTGAACTTGTTTTCGCAACTCGGTCATGTTGGTAGGACGAACTAATTGGAACGCACCTAGTCCGGGGTCCATTGTCTGCATGATCATTTCCAAAGTTGAACTGTGGACGTGGTACATTCCCAAACGTTTCGCCGGCATCGCCGGTGAATCTTTCCATTCTTAGCACCACACAACAACTCGTCAGAGACAAGTCGAGCCGATCCTTTGACCAGACTTGTGCTAAACAATTGTCATATCTCCCCTTCTGTCCTGGGTTATTCGCGTTTCCGGTATCATCCTATCATGCCTTCACTATTATAATGTTTACCGTGTTTATTTAGATAGTGTGGTGTGCTCCTTTGATTTTTGATTTGCTTGTCTGCACTATTCGGCCATTCACTACTGAGAATCGACTCATTTTTGTTGTTATCTTGCTATTATCGCAGAAAGCTTTAAAGTGACTTTTAAGTTAATTATTCAGATTTTTTGCACATTTAAAGGTAGGCGTCTAAGAGTATTGTTCTTTTGTTGAGGCGAATGGAAGGGATTCGTATGTTGGTCTCACCGAGACTAGAGGGAGGGTTGCCTTGGAGCTGTGGCTGTAGATTTGGCTGACCGTCCCGCGACCACGATAAATTGTTGTGGCGGGTACTCCAACATCAATCTATTAGAGGGTGCTTCGAAAACCAGTTTTTCTAAGAATCTTGCTCTTCTGCTTTTCTCATTTTTCGCAGTATTCCCTCATTATTCGATGGTTGACCAAATTTATCCATCAATTAATCAAAGATAATCAGAGAAAATGGCGCAGCTGTTTCCATCGCTCACGACTCCCATATCATGTCATCCTTCCTACTTTAAACTAAATTATTATCCCCTTATTCACTTAGTCTGTTGCTAAGATATCTCTTTACTTAGATTCTATGCTTTTGCAGTTTCGATAAGCTTGAGATATACATATACTTGAGTGAGTCTTTTGTAAGAACTGCTTATTCGATTGTTGAGCTTACTTCCATTTCGAGTGAAAATGTTTGGAGAAGAGATTCGAAGGTCGCTCCAATCAGAAGACGACAGCTGATTCCCCTTGGCCAGCTGTCGATTGGCTTTGCGGGAGCATTCTTGTGGCTGTCGTTTCCGAGGCAGTCTCCTTCGATTCCAGTGAAACCATGCTAAGATTTCGTCCGTCGTATAACGGACATCATCAAAGCAAGGTATCATCCGTACAACCAAATTAAAGCTAACGAGGCAAGAAAACTCATCTACTCATCCGAATTTATGAAGACCAAGATAGCGTGGTCTTTAGTATGATCGCAGTCTTCTTTTGTTGCATAGAAGTTGTTTGACCTTGTTTTTGCAACTTGGTCATACTGGTAGGAAGACCCAGAGAAACTCACCTTGTCCGCACTTAATAGTCTGCATGCTAATTTCCAGTCGGACCGTAGACTTGGTACCTTCCAAGACGTTTCGCCGGCATCATCAGTAAGCCTTGCCAGACTTGACTCCGAATCAAGACTCGTCAAAGAGACAAATTAAGTCGATCCTTTGACTAATTGTCTATTTAACAGTTGCGGTATCTGCCCTTCTGTCCTGGGCTATTCACCTATCCTATATCCTCGTAGCACCCCTTCACTATGACGTTAGAAATC